TATTCAATCAAGTGGGGATTACTTCGAAGGATGCCACCCGCCCGATGATCCAGAATAACGCCAGAGCGGAGATATAAAGGTAGGCCCGATACTTTCCGGACAGACCTCGTACTTTCATGAAAAACTAAAAGAAAAAATCAAGCATTGTGATTGTTTCATGGTTTGTTTTGATGAGAGTTTAAATAAACATTCTCAGAAGCAGCAAATGGATATAGCAATCCGCTTTTGGTGTACAGATAAAAATGAAGTAGCTACTCATTATTATAGTTCTGCATTTTTAGGATATACTACATCTCAAGATTTGATTCACGCTTTCAAAGTAGAGCTAAAAGATTTAAATTTGAAGAAATATTACTTTAAGTTTCAATGGATGGTCCAAATGTTAATGTTAAGTCCTTTAAGGATCTACAGATAAATTTATCTCAATCTCATAATGAAGGTGATCTTGTTATGTTATTCATGGGAACTTGTGGTTTGCATGTTCTTAATAATGCCTTCAAAATGTCTTTTTATACTGTAAAATGGAATGTTATAACATTTTTAAGATCACTTTATAATCTTTTTAAAGATAACCCTGCTCGAAGAAGTGATTTTTCGTACTATACAGATTGTTCATTGATGCCTTTAAAATTTTGTCCAGTAAGGTGGCTAAATAATTCAAAAGTTGCTGAAAGGGCACTAGAAATGTTGCAACATTTAAAAAAATACAGAGAATATTTGAAAAAAGAGAAAAAAGAAATACTTTCTTACAGTTACAATATTGTCGTTAAAGCATTGAATGACAAACTTATGCCAGTTAAGTTAGCCTTCTTTTGTTATGTCTTAAAACTGATTGAACCATTTTTGGAAAAATATCAAAATGATGGACCATTAGTTCCCTATTTGTATAGTGATCTAATTAGTTTGCTAGTAGACTTAATGAATATTTTTGTAAAAAAGGAAGTTTTAGAAAAGGAAACATGTATAGATAGAATAGATCTTAATAACGAAACAAATATAATTTTGCCAAAGAATTTAAAATTAGGATTTGCTGAGCTTAGGAAGATTAAAGAAATAAAAGATTGTGAAATGAAATCTTTCAATGATTGTGTTACTGTGCTTAAGTTAATTTATCAAAAAATTATAAGTAAATCACCTACTAAGTATAAGTTGTGCAAAGGTATAACTTTTTGTGATCCACAAATTTTATCCAATTCATTAAGTCAAGCTTTACGAAGATTAGATGATTTTAGAAATATTTCAAGAGAATAAATGGATAGGATATACTGAATGTGATAAACTTCTGAAAGAGTTTAAAGATTTTTGTTCTAAAAGTGGAATGTAAGAATATATTAAACAGTTTGACAGACGAAGTCAGAGACTAGACAATTTTTGGTTTAACTTAATTATAACAATGAATGGATCAGAAGTACTTTTAAATTTTCTGAAAAAGATTTTCATTTTAAGTCATGGAAATGCATTTGTAGAAAGAGGATTTTCCATCAACAAAGAAATTATTGTTGAGAATCAACTTGCTAAATCTTTAGTTGTGCAGAGACAAGTTTATGATGCAGTACAAGCGTTAGGCGGCTTAAATAACATAGTAGTTGACAAGCAAATGATTCTCAAAATACGGAATGCAAGATCATTGTATAACGAAGCTTTTGAAGAAGCAAGAAAAGAAAATTGAACACAAGTAAATGAAAATTTAAATAAAAAAAGAATTATTAATGAAATAAATGAACTAAAAAAAAAGAAATTAAAGATTATTAGTGAAAAACAGATGGAAACAAAAACAATAAATGAAAAAATTCATGAGCTTCAAATATCGATTAGAAATTAACTACGTTTTTTAAAGGCAGTATTGAAAACTCTACTAGTCTATAAGTATATATGCATCAGTCATTGTATTAGAGTAAGGTAAATGTATCAATCTTTGGTCAAAGTAGAAAAGCCTCGTCGCAATTAAAAATTCTTGAAAGATAATAATAAAGGTGTCTAGACATAGATACGTGTCCCAGCATTGGTACATTTAATTGTTCTCTTTAATGTATATATTAGAATGTTATTTTTTGTTCCATATAGTTTAATACGAAACTTAAATTTAATTGTCATTCAAGTTACAATTAAATATATATTTTATCAAATGTATTATTTTGATTTATAAAAGAATTTATAATACTTTAATTTTTTTAATTTAAAATAATTTATATATTTATTTTGATTTATAAAAATAATTTATAAAATAATTAAAAGGACCCCGCACTAATCCTATATGAAATTGGGTTTCGGTTAAATTAAATGGTTTTCTCATATGTTATAGCTTATGACCTGCTGAACAAAACCTATAAGTTTTAGCGAAAAAAAATGAACAGTTTTCGTGTTTGATTCACCTAATGTTGCTGATATTTCACCATAAAATACTCAATAACTTCTAAACGGCTGACCTAAAATAAATAAATTATAGTGTTTTGAAAAGGTCTCAACAAGAACTATAAGAAAATGGAAGAAAAACTGGGGGGGTCTCACTTAAAAAATCCGTGTGGACGTTGTCATGATCTTGGTGACGTCACCCAAAATCAAACTGATGAAGCCAGTGGATAGACTTTTTTAAACTCTACGACTTTTATACAATACATTTTTGTTATAAAACTTATCTTATCTTATCTTATTTTAACTTATCCTATTTTCGAGATATTTTACCGTCTCGAAACATTTTATGTTCCTTATATGATTATACCATGGTGCTACATATAATTATATTCCACATAGCATTACGTACTATCATGTATTATGTTGAAGTATGCATACATGTATAAAACAAATTTTGTTACAGAATATATAGTGCAATTCTCTACTCTTAGCGTAATCCAGAACCAATGACATGGACGAAGTAGGGGTCTGGTCCCGTATGTGTGTGTATGCGTGTGTGTGTGTGTGCGCGCGCGCGCGCGTATGTGTGTTCGTACGTGCGTGCGAATGCGATACGCAAAGTGGGATTAATCACTTACGAACGAGTAAATCAATGAACGAGACAGTCAAGCTTTCATCAGTGTTGCTGCAACTTTTGTGCAACTTCGTGCTGTAGAGGAATACGTCAATTTTAAAATCGTACGATGCTTACGATACTTGCGACGATACGAGATATGACCAATGTAGGTTAGGCTTTAATTGGCTCTAGGATAGAGAGGTTCTCAGACCTATCTGTCCTACAGTCAATAAGCTTGAAATGCCTTGTCGTACGACACATGAAATATCAGGCTCGGCACAAAGATATGGTCGCAACACAAAGTTTTCATAATGCATAACGCATAGTGCATCATAAAATCAACAAATCAAAGTTCTTCTTTTCCATGAAATGGAAGAAAAGGAAAGATTCTGATTGGTTGTTTCTCTTATGCACTATGCGTTATGCAAAAGTCTGTACTGCAGCCAATAGTCATAACTGAGTCGTGAAACGTGAGTCGTAGTTGTAGATCAACGCACAATGTTTTGTCAATATATAACTACGACTTAGACGAGGTCTACAATGGAAGTCGTCGAAAAGAATAAAGGATCCTCTACATAGAAGTCGTAGGAAACCAACCAATCACAATCAAATATAAGGAGAATACTCGATTAAAATTGATCGGTTTTCTACGACTTAAGACTCCACGACCGTCTCCGACTTGTAGAGGGTCCTCTATGTAGAGGACCCTTAATCGACTATGATTGATGAACGTTCTACGACTCAAGATTTCTATTGTAGACCCCGTTAGATTACGTTCCACGATTCAACTACGTTTTGTGCTTAGGCCCTACGACCTATTCTGCATTGGTCGTATCGTAAGCGTCGCAGGTCGTATCAAAGCTTGTTATATCAGCCAAAGCGTCAATTTTAAAGTCACACGATGCTTACGATGCTTGCGACGCTACGCACTTTTTTCGTAGCATTCATGATGAGCTCATCATCGCTGTTTATTAATAAAAAATTCTGACTTGTTGATTAATTAAGTTAAATAATTGTGCGATCAATGGTCTGATAGGGTAACTGATTGATTATAAGCATAATGTCTGATATCAGTAAAATGAAAGTTGTTATTTGCTTACAAAATTGTAGTAGCTCATGTGCATTCTCAGTCGAGATTGTTAATTATTACAAGTTGTAATAATTTTATTGAGTTTATTTGTTTACAAAGAATAAATACTGTCAGTAAAATTGAATTATTATAAATAGCGTTTTGGAGTAGAAATAGCAACGCGTAAATATATATTTCAGACAGTATGTAATATCTTCTCAAAATGCACATATTTCTTTTCTTAATTTTATATATAAAGATTTTATATGTACTTTTTTTAATAATATCTGTATTTTACATTTTAGGGGAAATTAATCTCCTAACATTAGAAAATAAAATAGACTTGGAAAATTCTATTTGTGTAACTCCAACTGGATATTTAATACTCTCTTTATTGACGGATGATTATCAAGCTCTTGGTTTAGAAGGGAAACCCTCTGCCTTCAGTCATAAATCTCATACACGATACAGTAAGTTTCAATAATAATACAATAGAACAATAAAATTATATATTACCAGGTATGTAAATATGAAACCGGAATTTACCAATAGATGGCCATAGCTGTCAATGTAGTTGCCGTCAAACCGCGTCATTGACGCCATTTCCTTGTTCTGACATCTGACAAAGATTTTCAACTCACAACAATACAATTTTCATACAATAGTATAGTTTGTAATAGCGTTGAACATGTCGAATTTTGTGCCTGGAAACTACGATTTGCGGATAGCATTGATTTTCTGTTACCATTTGAAGAAAACTGCTGCAGAATCGCATCGAATGCTTGTCGAAACTTACGGTGAGCATACTCTTGGTAAATCACAGTGCTTTGAGTGGTTTAAAAAATTCAAAACTGGTGATTTTACGTGAGAAACGAAGAACGTGGAAAACCACCGAAAAAGTTTGAAGACAACGAATTGCAAGCATTGTTGGATGAGGATGACGCTCAAACTCAACAACAACTCGCGGATCAATTGAATGTGACACGAGAAGCCGTCTCCATATGTTTGAAATCCATGGGAAAGATCC